GGGCAGTTTCAGATGAAACGGAGGGTCTGCAAGTTGTTTGTCCATCTGCTCCTGGGAAGCCTCCCGTGCCACTGGGTGGTCCTGAGTGGACCCCGTTTTGAAGGTTAACCCAGAGGTGACCTTAATGCTGGAGACTTGTGCTACTTACACAGACACGTATGTGTGAGGTACACGTCTGAGTGGGAGTAATCCAGAAGGTTTGTGGAAAATAGAATGAAAACACGTTTATTTTTATGCCGAAAGCTTTGAAATCCATGCCTACTCCCTTATCATTTGTGTGCACGTAGATAAGCTTGTAGAGTGAGTCTGCACAAGTACAGTTGCTGGGTCAAAGGGCAAATGCATTTGCGATTCTGATAACTGAGTGTGGCCACATCCCCCAGGGGCTTTTGAGAGCAGAAATGCGAGCACTAGGCAGGGGCGGCACTTGCCGTTCCTTTGGCGATGCACAACCACAGGGCGGAGTGAAAGACGATTCTGTCCTTCATTACAGCGCGCGTCCAGTCCTTGGGAGCCCCTGGAGAGCCTCCTGGCCCCACCCCTTCTCGGAGCTCGGAGGGAAAAGGCGTCCCCAGCACTCTGGACACTGTTTTCCGTGAGGCTCTGGAAGGGGTGAGATCTGAGTCAGGGCTCCTGTCGCAGTCAGCCAGTGTCTTCGTGCAGCTCATGGAGACCTGCCTGTCGTCCACCTGCGGCCCCTGGCCTCCTGAATCCTTTGTGAAGTGTCGCATGGCTGTAGATTCAGATTTGATGCGGGCACAGTGCTGGCATTCACTGGCATCTTCTTACTCAAGAAAATGTCGGTGGTCCACTTTTCTAAAAGCCCTTGGCAAGAAGAAACTGAGGAAAATTTACCTTTGACCATTCAGTCAGGCCAGAGGGAAATCCAGGATAGATGGCAACGCCGTGTGTTCACCTTCTGTGTGCAGGGAGGCCCAGGGGAGGAAGTGCCTCACGTGCCTCACAGATCAACCTGGGCAAATGTTGTGGCGCAGCTGGGCAAGCCGCACCCCACATCAGAGCGCTGGGTTGAGTCCTGGCTCCTCCGCTCTGATCCTGCCCCGGTTCTCTACTGATGTGCCTCGGCAGCAGCGGGTGATGGCTCCGTGACTGAGTCCCTGTCACCTACGTGGGAGAAGCAAATGAAGTTTCCGGCTCCAGCCTGGCCCGCTCTGCTGTTGTAGCCATTTGGAGACTGAACCACCAGATGGAAGATCTCTCTCCATCACTCTGCCTTTCAGAAAACAAGCAAAAAACAAAAAAGCCTCTCCTGGACTCAGGGCCCTGCTCTTCTAGCACAGCTGTCTGTTGTCCGTGGCTGCCAGTGCCCCCGGCCAACAGGAGGGCAGTTTGTATTAGAGAGGGGCACGCCCGGTGCGAGAGTGGGCAGGGCTACTGCGTACTTGTGGTCTGTATCCCCGTTTGGGTCTTGTAGGGCAGCAAGAACATGGGACGTAGACCCGGAGCCCTCTTTAAGACCACCAGTGCCATTCTCCATGAGCCCAGTAACGCCGTCCCTTCTCCCAGCTCCCACAGGGGCATTCACAGGGCAGCACCAGGGCCGGCCCTAGCAATGGGTTTTCCCAAGGAATGGGGGCATGAGGAAGGAAAATCAGGGTGTCATTTCCCTGGTCTAGTTGGCTACATACATTCAAGCTGGAGCGCGACCATCACCACTCTGTCTCCAGGACGTTACTCTTCTTGTGCCATTGAAACTCTGTACTCCTGAAGCAGTAACTCTCCGTTCCCCTCCCTGACAGGCGCTGTCTTTTTTTGTTGTTGTCGTTGTTATTGTTAAAGATTTTATTTATTTATTTATTTATTTGAGAGGTAGAGTTACAGACAGAGAAAAAGTTCTTTCATCTGTTGGTTCACTCCCCAAATGGCCACAACAGCCAGAGCTGGGCCGATTCAAAGCCAGGAGCTTCTTCCAGGTCTCTCACACAGGTGCAGGGGCCCAAGCCCTTGGGCCATCCTGTGCTGCTTTCTCAGGCCATGGCAGAGAGCTGGATCAGAAGAGCAGCATCCGGGACTTGAACCGGCGCCCGTACCTCAGGCGGAGGCTTAGCCCATGCGGCCACAGCGCCGGCCCTTCAGTTTGTCTCTGACTTTGACCGTGCTGAGTACCTCCTGTGAGTGGCATCATGCAGCATTTGTCTGTTTATGATTTGCTGATCGCACTTGGCACAGGGGCCTCCGGGTTAGTCCGTGTTGTGCACAGAATTTAAGGCCGACTGACAAGAAAGGACTTAGCTTCTGTTCCTTTGCTGTCTGTTTGCTACACGCCTCACATCTTGGTTCCTCACTTTCTCAGTGTTGACCTCTTGTGTCCCATTTGCTTTTTTGCAATGATGCACTTCCGTTCCGTTCTCATTTATTGGGTCCTGCCATGTAGCTGTTTTCTTTGTGATGACCATGGTGCTGTGGTTTGGGTGCGGCCCCCAACTGCGTATGTTGGGAATTTTGTCCCAGTGTGGCCATGTTGGGAGGTGGAGCCTAGTGGGAGGTGTGGATCACGGGGGCACCTACGTGAATGGATGAGTGCCGGTACTGTGGGAGTAGGTTTGTTCGTGGGGGAGTGGGTCCCTTGTCAAACACCGGGTTTGGTCCCCTTTTCTGAGTCTCGCCCTCTCTCCACCTGTGTGCCGGATGACTAGGGAGAAGGCTCTTGCCAGATGCCAGCCCAAGCGTCTTGGACTTAGCAGCCTCCAGAGCTGTGAGAAATCCATTTCTGGGTGTTGTAAATCGCCCGGTCTGTAGTACGCAGTTCTGGTAGCACAGAACGAGCTAAGACAGAGAGTCAGTACTGAGAAACAGGCTGCTGTTGCAAATGCCTGCAAATGCAGAAGTTGCTTCGGAGCCCTGGGAGGGTTTGGAGGAGCAGGCGGAAAGAGGGCCTGTGCTGCTGTGAACGGAGCACACAGGGCTCTGTAGGGCTCGTGAGACAGAAAGAACCCTGAGGACGTGTGCACCTTGCGAGGTGATGTACGTGGTCACAACCAGGATGTTGGTAGAAATATGGACAGTAGACGTCATTACCAAAAACTGGAATGAAGGCTGTCCTTGTTAAAAAGCTGCAAAGAACTTGGCTGAATTGTGTCTGTGCCTGAGGGCTTTAGTGGAAGAAATTTCTTTTCTTTTCTTTTCTTTTTTTAATTATTTATTTATTTGAGAGGCAGAGGTACAGACAGTGAAAGGGAGAGAGAGTGTTCTTCCATCTGCTGGTGTACTCCTGCCATGTCCACAACAGCTAGAGCTCGGCCAATCCGAAGCCAGGAGCCAGGAGCTTCTTCCAGGTCTCCCATGAAGGTGCAGGGGCCCAAGGACTTGGACCATTTTCCACTGCTTTCCCAGGCCATAGCAGAAAACTGGATGAGAAGAGGAGCAGCCGGGACTCCAGCCGGCACCCATGGGGAGGGTGGGGGCTTAGTTCACTATGCCATAGCACCAGCCCCTAGTAGAAGAAATTTCTAACCAAAGTATTAAAGGAGTGGCATGGCTTCTTTAAAAAAAAAAAAAAGATTGATTTATTTGAAAGGCAGAGCGATGGGGATATGGGGTGGTTAGATGGATAGATAGATAGATAAACAGATAGATAGATCTTCCATCTACTGGTTCACTGCCCAAATGCCCTCCATGGCTGAGATTGGACCAGACCAAAGCCAGGAGCCCGTAACTCCATCCAGGTCTCCCATGTGAGTGGCAGGGGCCCAAGCCAGTTTCCTTTGCTTTCCCAGGTGCATTAACAGGGAACTGGATTGGAAGCAGAGCAGCCAGGACTCAAGCCTGTGTTCCCCAGTGTTGGATACACACAATGGTAACTGGTGTCTCAAGCTGCTGCCTCTTTGAACTGCATACAGTAACAGAGAGGAGAGAAATGATTTGAAGGTATAATTTATAATCAACTAATAGAATTAATTTATAATTAAAAAGGAAGCAGAGATGTAAAGATTTGGAACATTCTCAGCTTGGCCAGGTAAAGAATGAAAAAGTATGTGAGGGACAGCCCAGCGTCCCCTGGAGAAAGGAACTGGCATGGACAGATGGGACGGGGTGCTCTTCATCACACTGTGGGAGAATGACCCCAGAGCATTTCAGGTACCTCTGAGGCCAAGTACTTGGGTCATCTGCCACTGTTCTCTTAGGTGCATTAGCAGGAGGCTAGATTGGAAGCAAAGCAACCAGGACTCCAATCGTCACTCTGATATGGGATGCAGGCATTGCACCTGGAGTTTAAACCCTGTGCCACAATGCTGGTCCCAAGGAAGTAGTTTTGTTTGTTTGTTTGTTTGTTTAGATTGAGTTATTTATTTGAAAGGCAGAGTTACAGAGAGGCAGAAGCAGAGAGGCCTTCCATCCGCTGGTTCACTCCCCAAATGACTGCAATGGCTGGGGTTGGGCCGACCTGAAGCCAGGAGCCTCTTTCTGGTCTCTCAAGTGGGTGCAGGGGCACAAGCGCTTGGGCCATCTTCCACTGCTTTCCCAGGCCATAGCCAAGAGCTGGATTGGAAGTGGAGCAGCCAGGGCACGAACTGATGCCCATATGGGATGCCAAGACTATAGGCTGCGGCTTTACCCACTATGCCACAGCGCTGGCCCCCAAGGAAGTAGTTTCATAAAGTATTTGTTATTTTCCCATCGAGTCTTTGTCAGAGACACTATATGTTGGTTTATATTTTTCATTTGAAGGGGCCATACTTGCCTGTTATTTTTTTTTTTGCCTTGTGACTTCTTGCTGAGTCCTGGCCGTTTGAATCTAATAGTGTGTGAATCTAATACGTGTGTCTGTTGTTCAGGCTGTGTCCAAGGCAAGGGTCAGACTGAAGTGTAAACGGTAGATCTTCTTCCGTCTTTTCTGGGTCTTGACCTTGTCCTGAACACGCACAGTGACTCTCTGATTTCCCTGTACCTGGGTCACAAAAGGGAAAAGAGACATAGAGGGGGTGGGAGGGAATGAGCGCCAGCCCGTTACGTGTCCTGGAAGTCACTCAGGGTGGAGGGGAAGGGTTTGCAGCAGTGGGAGCAGGTGGCAAGGATGGTCACCGTCCCTGTGTGACCAGAAGCCATGCCCAGAGCACAGGTTCCCGGGAGGGGAGGCTGCTGACTGACATGAACCCCCATTTTCCATCCAGGCCTTCCCCAAAACCCTCAGCAGACTAGAATTCCACCAGGTTGCATCTGATCCTGCGGTGCCATTGTCGACTCGGTGCACCCTGTCTGCCCTCTTCCCCGAGTCCTGTCCCCTCGGGAAGTCGTGTTTCTGTTGAGGGATGACCATACACAGTGAACGCACACAGTCTGAGGACAGCCCTGTTTCCGTAGAGCACACAGTCCGGTGTCCACCACTGCTCCGTGGTCTCCCCGTTCCCCTCGTCCTTCTGTTGTCACCCCGTCCTCCCAGCCCTCACACCTGCTGCCCGGTTACTGCCCTTCGAATTTTGCCTGTTACAGAACATCCTGTAAAGAGAAGTGTGCAGTGCACTGAGGAGACACCGGGCTGTCGCCTGGGGTCAGTGGCCTTCCCTCCTCACAGCTGAGCCGTGCTCCCTTGTGTCGCTGTCCCCCTCGTCCGCTGACAGACAAGCTGAGCTGCTTCTACCTTCTGTGATCACAAGTGAGCTGTAACGTTCACGGGTGGGTTTTGCTGTGGACATGTTTCCATTTCTTTTGGATGAATAATTAGGAATGGATTGCCAGGTCACATGGTAAGTGCTAACTCGGGAGAAACGACCACACTGTTTTATAAACTGAGTGCGCCGCTGGCCATTCCCGCCAGCACTTCGCACCAGCTTGTCTCCATGCCAGTCACCCCTCCCTCTTACCACACACGTGCTCTTCTCTCCCGTTTTGTGATTTGCGTCCCTATTCTCTCAGCAGTATCCTTAGAGGAGCAGAAGTGTTTAATTTTGATGAAGTCTAGTTTACTCATTTTTTTTTTTCAAGGCTAATTTTTTTAAGTTTTAAGGATTTTATTCAGTGAGAGAAATACATAGGAGAGTGAGGGCTCTATTTAAAGGAGAAAGAAAAGTCTAGAAACTAAGTAGGGATCCATACCAAGCAGAGAGCAGACCAGGATCCACATGCAGCAAGCGTTTGGTTATGAACAGCTTATCACAGGTAGGAGAGCAGGCGGCCCAAAGGCCACACACCCTGAAGGTGCGGGGCAACAAGGGCAACAAAGGGCAGTAGTGGCGAGAAATGGGGCAAAGGACCGGCCCTCCGTGTTCCAGGCCTTTTATCCACGTCCAAAGGGGAGTGGTCACATAGCCTGCTTGGCAGGTGGGCATACAGGTGGGGTCAGGTAAGGGAATGCGATCCCACAGAGGGCATGGTGAAGGCATGGTCTTCCAACTCACAAATCTAATCAGTTTTATCCCATTTGCCTGCCTGCTTCACTCCCCGCTCAGAGAAATCCCAGCCCTTAATCCTAAGGGATGATGACGGATGTAGAGTCGTGTCTTCTGTACCAGCTTCCTGCTTATGAGGGGAGTGGCGCAGGCCCTGCCTGTCCTGGGTCTGGAAGTCTCCGCCTGTCTCATCTAACACATTCACTTTATGAGCTGCAGCAATTTCAGTCACCGTCAATGGCTGTGTCTCCAGCATGGTCAGTAATTCCCAGAAGTTATTGAATTCTGAATCATAATTTTATTAATTAGCATAAGCAAAACTGGAATCAAACCAGTTGTAAGTGGTATGCCCCTAAGGCTGTGTTTTTTAAATAAGATGTAATTATTTATTCATTTACTTATTTATTTGAAAGGGCTGAGTGACAAAGAGGGAGAGAGAGAGAAATCTTTCATTGACTGGTTCTCTCAAGTTGTTGCAACGCTCCAGGCTGAAGCCAGGAGCCAGGAACTCCATCCGGGTCTCCCACATGGGTGACTGGGGCCCAAGTACTTGGGCCTTCTTCAGCTGCTTTCCCACGTGTGTTCTCAGGGAGCTGGATCAGAGGGGAGCAGCCAGGAGTGGATGTGGAATGGCGGTGCCAGTGCCGGTGCCAGTGTCGCGAGCAGCAGCCTCACCCTCCGCACCACAACACTGGCCCCGAGGCTTAGGCTTTTGATATTGTACCTAAGAATTCTTTGCCCAACCGAAGATCGCACAGATTTTCTTCTAGAAGTTTTATAAGTTAAAATTTGTGGTATGTTTTGTATGTATTGCAAGGTACTGGTCCAGAGTCGTTATTTTGCACCCAGATGTCTGATGTTCCAATGAGAAAATCAGGTCCGCACGTATGTGTGGGTCACCTGTGTGCCTTCAGTTGATTTCTAATTTCGGAGAAGAAATCAGTGAGAAGAACGGTTCTTCCGTATTTCTGCGTCACCGGGTTGTCCCCCCAGGAGGCCTCTTCTGTCCTGTGCAGTCAGAACTAGCCTTTCTGGGCTGGGGTTGGGGTGCAGAGTGAAGCCAGCTCGTGCTGCCCTGGCATGCCAGCTGCCCCACTTCTGATCCAGCTCTCTGCTAACGGTCTGGGAAAAGCAGTGGAAGATGGCCCATGTGTTTGGGCCCCTGTCACTCAGGGGGAAGACCTGGATGAAGCTCCTGGCTCTTAGCTTTGGCCCGGCTAAGTGGCCATCTGGGGAGTGAACCAGGGGATGGAAGACCTCTCTCTCCGTATAACTTTGACTTCAAATACATAAATACATCTTAAAGCCACTCCTGGCTCCTGGAACTCTGCCGCGCACACTCCTCACAGACTGTCTCACCTTGGTGTTGCTTTTGGTGTCTGCTCTCCCTCCCCGTTTCTCTCAGGACTGCATGCCCCGGAGACCAGGAAGTGTGTGTCTTTCCTTTTCACCATCATCTTGGTCACACGGGCCCTCGGATGCCTGTTAAATGAATGGAGCTGCCCGAGGCCCTGACTAGCGAGGGTTTCTGGAGGGCTGTGTTCTTCCCTGAAGCTCCCACCTCTCTGTTCCCAGTTGTACTTTGTGTGTGGTTTGTGCTTTTCCAGACGCGCCTGGTGATCCTGGGTGGATGCCTGGCGTCCCTGGGCCCTGTCTTTTGTGCCTCCTCCTTGCTGGCCTCAGTCCCTGCAGCTTTGCTGGGGAGAGGAGTCACTCCTCCCTGCTTCCCTGGGTTGCTTTGGAGACGGATGAGAACACAGAAGGGAAAAGACCGGACAGTATGAAGAGTTATTGGTTGATTATGCAATTCCTTTATTATCACAAGCCCAGGACTCATGGAACATTTATTGTTCATGAATCCCAATATTTAATTGATTGCTTCTCCTTCCCAACACTTTGGAAACGAACATGGGTGAGTATTTACTATGCAGGAAATTTCCTGTAGTAGATCTTAAACTATTCTTAGCATTTTGCTCTCAACTAATTCTCCCTGACGCTTGGTTCCCGTTGGAGGTTTAACTGCTGGGCTGTGCTCTCCTGAGATGCAGGTGCGGCCACGTGTGCCTTTGGGACTCAGAGTGGCAGCGCTTCGTACGTCCGTGAGGGCCACAGGTGCTTAGTGTGGATTCACATGTTTCCTGTGACGGAGAGATGCATTTCTGTACCTTTCAGTCTTCTCTGTGCCAAATTGCTGACTTTCTCAGAAGTGTTCATTGTCATCAGTCAGGGCTCCATCTCCCCACTCCCGTTTCCTGCCCTTGTGCCGACACCTGTCATGCCAGGTGAGTGAGTGGCTTCCTGCTGGCCCTGGGAGTGTGGTGTTGTTCGAAGCACCTCTACAGCTGAGCGCAGCCACACAGCACGGCCTTTCCACGGGCACTGCAGGGAGCCAGGCAGCCACAGGAAGTGGTTCTGACCGTCGGCTCCTTCCATGCGTGATGGCCAACGGACGAAGGGGTCAGAATCAGAATTCGTTGCTCGTTTCCCTTCTCCTTAGCAGTTTTACTGAGGCATCGTTTACGTGTCATGACATTTCCAGTCGCAGTGTACACCTTACACACACACACCAGCGTGTGCCGTAACCACGATCCAGTTCTAGAACACTTCCCGCCCCTTTAGAAGATCCCTCTGCCCCTTTGCAGTGAGCTCTGCTCCCAGCCCCAGGCAGCCATTGATTGGCTTTCTGTCCCTGTAGATTTGTCTTGTATACACATTGCAGATAAATGCAGCTTTCAGACAGGATCTGGTCTTTCGTGGCTGGCTCCTTTCTCAGCGTGTTGCTGGGCTCTCTCTGGTGCAGCATTGTCAGTGCTCTGTTCCTCGTTGAATGGTCCAGTGTTCAGCTGGACACTTCGTGAATCCATTCACAGTTGGGCCATTGTGTGTGATGCTGCTGTGAGCACGCACATGCAGGTCTTTGTGTGGGTGTGTGTCTTCACTTCTGTAGGGTAGAATTCGAGGAGTAGAACTGCTGGGTCTTGCAGTAAGTTTTTCCTTACCTTTTTCAGAAACTATTGGAATATCTCTTAAAGTGGCTATGCAGTTTTGCATTCCCACCAGCAAAGGGTGAGCGCTCCAGTTTCTCCACATTCTTGCCAACACTTGGTTTTGTCTTTTTTATTATAGGCTCGGGAATGGTGTGAAGTGGCATCTCATTGATTTTAGTTTCCATTTTTCTCTTTGAAGATTTATTTGCTTGAAAGACAGAACAAGAGGGAGATCGATTGAACAGTCATTTTCATCTGCTGGTTCCCTCCCCAAGTAGCTGTGCCAGCCGGGTCTGGGCGAGGCTGAAGCCGGAGCCAGGAACTCCGTCCTGGTCTCCCACCTGGGTGGCAGGGTCTCGACTACTCTGCTGCCTCTTGGGTACGTTAGCAGGAAGCTGAGGTGAAGCCGAGTAGCCGCACTTGAACTGGCACTCCGATGCGGGGCAAGCATTGTAAGTGGCAGCTCACCCTGAGCGCCACGGCGCTGGCCCTGGCTTTCATTTCTTGAACGACGAATGATGCTGAACATCATTTCACTTGCTTATTAGCCACTCCTATTTCCCCTTGATGACATGTCAGTTAAGATCTTTTGCCTGTTATTTATTAGGCTTATTTATTACTTTAACTTGAGAGGCAGAGGCAAAGAAACAGAGACAGACAGAAATCTGTGATCCTCTGGCTCACTCCCCAGATGGTGCAGCAGTCAGGGCTGAGCCAGGCCCACGGCCGGAACTTGTAGCTCACTCTGCGTCTCCCACGTGAATGGCAGGGACCCATGTATTTGCGCCATTGCCTGCTGCCTCTCAGGGAGTACATCAGCTGAAAGGTAGAATCAGAGCAGAACCAGGACAGAACACGGGCACTCCGATGCAAAACGCAGGCACCCCAACCAGCAGCTTAACCACTGCAACACGTCCTCAGCCTTCAGCTGTGTGTGTGTGTGTGTGTGTGTGTCTGTGTCTGTGTGTGTGTGCATCATCTTACTATTCTGTATTCTGGGTGTAATTTTCTTATTACTCTTGGAGACACAGCTTCTGTCTAAAGGTCCGGAATGATTGTGTAGGCAGTGAGACTTGGAAAGAGGACCAGGAGCATGGGCCCATTCCTTTAAGAACCTGCCCTGGGAGGTACGTGCACCATGTCTCCTCAGTGCCTCTGGCTAGTCGGGCGGTGGTGCCAAGCTGGGCCATGTGGTCTTTATTCTGGCTGATGTGTTGAGGCCTACAGTGTAGGAGTGGAAGACAAGAGAGGAGAGCAGATGGTAAGGGCATTGTTGAGCTGGTGTCCTCTAGCTACTCTGTGTGGGATCCCATCCATTTTCATCAGAAAAAGTCTACAGGATGTGTAATTGTTGCTCAAAACCTCACTGAGGAATTAATTTAACTGTTATAGAATTGTAGCACAAGGAGCCAGCGCTGTGGCGCAGTAGGTTAAGCCTCTGCCTGCAGTTCCAGAATCTCATATGGGCGCCAGTTCAAGTCCCGGCTGCTCCTCTTCCCATTCAGCTCTCTGCTATGGCCTTGGAAAGCAGTGGAAGATGGCCCAAGTGCTTGGGCCCCTGCACCCACATGGGAGACCTGGAAGAAGCTCCTGGCTCCTGGCTCCTGGCTTCAGATCGGCGCAGCTCCAGCCGTTGCGGCCAACTAGGGAGTGAACCAGTGGATGGAGGACCTCTCTCTGCCTCTCCTCACTCTATGTAACTCTGATTTTAAATAAATAAATAAATCTTTAAAAAAAAAAAAAGTATTGGGCCAGCACCGCGGCTCACTAGGCTAATCCTCCTCCTGCGGTGCTGGCACCCCAGGTTCTAGTCCCGGTCGGGGCGCCGGATTCTGTCCTGGTTGCTCCTCTTCCAGTCCAGCTCTCTGCTGTGGCCTGGGAATGCAGTGGAGGATGACCCAAGTGCTTGGGCCCTGCAGCCGCATGGGAGACCAGGAGGAAGCACCTGGCTCCTGGCTTCGGATCCATGCAGCGCGCTGGCCTTAGTGGCCATTTGGGGGGGTGAACCAATGGAAGGAAGACCTTTCTCTCTGTCTCTCTCACTGTCTAACTCTGCCTGCCCCCCAAAAAAAAAAAAAAGAATTGTATCACAATGTTCCTCAATTGAAAGATTGAAAGTATCACAAATATGAGTTTGTATTTCTTAGTGTATTAGAATTTGCCAGAGAAGTGGAACCAAGAGGCTCTAATATAAGTTATAAATACATGTTCCATGCAGAGATGTATTATAAAGTATTAGATTACAAGACTGTGGAGGCTGGGGTAGGCAT